TGGTGCTCAGATGGATGTAAAATTAAATCAGACTGTGTGTGTGTGTGTGTGTGTGTGTGTGTGTGTGTGTGTGTGTGCATGCAGTATGTGTCTATATGTCCATCTCTCTGTGACAGGTCCATATAATAGGTTCATCATCTCTTCTCTCAAAAAAGGGAGAAAGACTGACAGTGGTAGCCAGCTGTCAGTAGCAGAGACACCCTTGATTTGTGTGTGTGTAGGTGTGTGTGTGTGTGTCACTACATGTGTCCATCTTCGTGTGTGATGTCTGCCACTGTGCTGCCTCATTGCCATACTAAGTGCTGGGAACCAGTGTGCCGCTCATTGCTGTAATGGGCTGAGTAATTTCCCTGTTTCAGGCCAGCCCAGAAACAATGGTTTCACTGCTAAGTGTCATGTCACCAGCGCACAGTGAGGCAGCCTGGCAGGCTAAATGCAGATAGATAGACTCATGTTGTGTCTTTAGCCAGCTGTGATCAGGCTGCCTCAAACTACAGCAGTGAAATAATAAAGCATGATGAGCCAGTGTGTCAGCCCAATGCGCTGAAGTCCTCAGGCCAAGAATAGAAGAGAGTAGAAAATAATAGTCTCCCACATTTGTGAAATGCAAGTGTTTACGGATAGCTGAGTCTCTTACTTCTCCAGCTCCAGCTTTTAAATGTATAATGAAACTCCACTAAACCCTGATTTAGTTATTGATGAATCAATGTTTGATTAATAGGGGATTTGGTTTTTGCTGTTAGCAGATAAAGGCATAGTGAATGCTAGAAATCAGCCGTGACTGCCCTCCATAACTTTCCAAAGAATCCATTATACTAGATCCAAGAGAGTAAGAGCTAAAGAACAGACTGTGTCTAATAGATGGTAAATATAGTAACCCGTGGCTCAGTGTCAAGGAGACAAAAGAGAAACATGAAAGGAGATGAGACAAGCTCAAGTGACAAGGTGGGGAGGGAGAGGTGAAAATTAAAAAAATGACAGGACAAAGAAATTAAACGAATTTGGAAGGAAAATGAGACCTCAGGCTCAGGCTCAGACAGAGAACATCTGACCAAAACAGGGTTATGAATTCGGGAAGTGTTTACTCTCTCCCTTCTCGTCTTAAGGTTGCTTTCACTTCATTTATATATCTGTCTCTTGTCAATCCCTTTATGGAGACAGCCACAGAGGCAAGCAGGTTAACTACCGTGATGAAATGTGTTCTTGCCCAACCAATCAATTATGACCCTGTGTAGCAGTAGGCAGGGGTGACGACAGCGTGAGGGAAAGTTTCAGGGTAGAGAATCAAGGCATCTTGACCCAGCATAATGGCAGTGTAATAGGATATGCTCTAGAAAGCGCATAAGATCACAGCTCAACGTTGTCTTGGCTTCTGTTGCCTCCCCTGCCTTGCAGCACTGCCTCATTAACCCCCAAAACACACTGTGTCTTTCTCACTTTAGCAGTTAAGCACCACCTCCCCAACCTCTGTCTCTCTCTTCCTGTCCCACTCTGACTGCCTCTGTCTTTGATTTCTTGACTAGTAGCGGAACCTCTTGGGGAAGTCACCACCTTGTAAACAGGCTCACGTTACGTCCGTGATTAAAGAATACCTTTGTTCAGCTTTGCCAGAGAAGGAATGTCTCTCTCTCTGTCGTCGGCTGTTAACAAGCCCTGCCTCTCTTGTGTCCTTGGAATACTGATTCATCCACAGATCAGAAGTTATTGCTGCGCCTGGCACACTAAAACAAACACGCCTCTGCCCACTCAGCACGAGAGCTTCTGTCTGAGAGCAGTGATACAAGGATTCTTATTCTGTAAAAAAATGAAACTGGTTATGTGGAAATTGAGTATTCAGTACGGTTAAAATTTCAAAAAGTGACCCCCATCTCCTCAACCGGCACATCTCTATCAGGATTTTCCACAAGGGCTTCATCTGTGTAGATATGAACAGCTTTGGGTGTAGTTTTAATGACAGGGATCCAAATGAAATGAGATGAGTGGGTAGTGGAGATAGAGGGCAATAGATAATGAAAGATGAAGTCAGATGATGGGATCAGGCGAACATGATGGAAGATCTCTTTCAGTTTATCTACAAAGTATGTCATTAGACCAACATAGGAAATCTGTCAGAGGCTTAGTTCCTGATGAAAAGTTGAAGGCACCATCTGTGTATGTCAGTGTGTGTGTTTATCTATCTGGGCTGCATGGTGGCAGCGGTGGGAGTGTGGTGTGCAGGGCTTGGGGGGTGTTTTAATTACACAGCCTCACAGTTTTGAAGTTGCTGTAAAGGCCACTTTAATTAACACCTTTCGTGTTAGAATCGGCACAGAACTGCACATATACCCACATAAGTAGTACATAAGGTAACGGTAGCTTTTCCTTGGAAGCAGGCTGCTGAGAGCCAAAGGTCCCATTTCCACTTATTGACATATATAACAAACACATTAAAACAAATATATCTGGATACATTATCTGAATTATGACAACTGATCCAGGGGCCTTTGTATTTAACGTCCCAGACACCACGGAAGGCGATGGTATGGATGTGTGTCATTTTTTTGCTATGCTTGTGGCATGGCTATAGGCATTATAGGTCTGTCAGTAGGTGGTCCAGATAGTAGTGAAACCTTACAGGCTAATTTTATTTTCTTAAGAAAAACATCCTGCTGTATGGACTGCGTTTATACCTGGTTGAGAATCCATCCCTGTGGTCTGGCTGATCTGATCGCAATGCATTCGGCATAGATTAATATGTGTTTTTCCTTATCTAGGGAGGATGTCCAGATATAGAATGCATATTAAAGCCAGTTCTAAATGGGCTTAGGCTTTTTTTCACAGCAGAAAGAGATACATCCTA